AGAGGGCGTCAAAGTTTTCTTTTAAAAACATTTTTTCAGATATCTTCGAATAGTCAGATTTGAATGAAATTTGGAGGAACACTCTGATTTTTTTATTTAAAAGTTCTTTTATTTACTTTACCTTTCGGCCACCTCGCATCGTTTGCGAGAGAAAATTTTTTTCGAAGCTGATTTACCTAAGAAATTTCTTATCACATCAAGTGTTAATTTTTTTGCGCCGTAATGTTATGTGCAGGAACGAAGACTATTCCCCGTATTAAATAAAATTGTGATAAGTGATATCAAACTTGATTATTTTCGCTGACTACACTTAAATAATTAACTTGACGCTTGGAAACACTTGATGCGACTTTTTTTTTCTTTTCTCGAAAACTATCCGAGATGGCCTTATTTTTATGGGAAATAAAAAATGAAGTAAATAAAAAGATCTGCTAAATAAAAAATCAGAGTCGTCGGGAAAGTTGTCTAAAAATTTCGCTATAATTTATGCAGGGGTGGGGGTAATTTTCACCCTTCTGAAACGGTTTAGAGCTTTTCGTAAAAGTCGATTATTAGAACGCTTAACAAAACCAAATTTCATTTAAGATCGGACTGTCAGTTCTTAAATTATCTGAAAAATCTGTTTTAAAAAGAAAACTAAAGTAAAAATCACTTTTGCATAGAGGTAAATCATGTTTGAGTCTAAAAACACGTGGTACTTTTATTTCCACGGAATATTGTGACACCCTGTATAGTATGGGCAAACTGCATATATGCCGCGTCAAAATATACACAACTGCTCGGTAGCGCACTTCTTCTGCTCATCGTATTGGCTCACTGTTGCGTGCTCAGCCTACTGGCATAGCAACATAAGAATTTGATGATGGAGAGACCGAACTGTTCGGAAATGGGATTTCCCTGACTGTTACAACCCCTTTCTACCAGAGCCCTGTGTCGAGGCCTGACCAGTGGAATCGTTACAACGTACATTTATATACAGGGAAAATGAAATTTGTTTGAGAGATTGAGTTCAATGTGTACGAGAAGGAAGAGCAAGAAGTGTGTACCAACACGCGTTAGAAAGAGATAGAAGATTATTTTATACCAGAAAATGTGCGCACAGGCTTCTAGAATAGGCTAGGTTACTGTCAAACCCAAGAAGGGTTTTGATTAGAATTATTTACTTCATTTTTGATACGACTTAGTGTTATCTTTGATTTCCAACGATGGTAATAAAATCAATACATCCCGAGTTATTGTTATATCTTGCGACAGAGAGCGGTCGGAAAATATAACAAATACCATTACGCAATATAAGTTATTACAGCCTGCGTGTACGCAGGTGAAAACCATTTCGAATCAGGACGACACTCCCCAATGAGCGCTAGATGGTTACTGACCAAAATCGCTCATCTATGATCGTGGAGGTGGAAACCTTGAATTGGAATGTACGAGCTGCGGTGTTGCCAGGCGAACCAAACATGCAACGTTGCAGAATTTGTGGCGCGACTGACCTTCCATTTCGACCTAAAATGGAGCACCGTTATGACTGATCCGGAATCGATCCTACACAGATTCGACACAATTCACAATTAAAAAATGTGTACGCTCAAAAGAAAATTATTTGGGCGTAAAGAATTATCTAACGCATATTTTCAACATGCATCTTAATTCAAGGAACTGATGTAACATATTGGCGACACGGCAGATTGCCGCATAAGCGTTGCTAGGCAACGCGGTGATGAGCTTCGCTATCCTGTCGGTTTCTATCTCTTTCTGATATACCTATGTGTCTAAACACACTTCTCTCTCGTAAACATTGAACTCAAGCCGTCATACAAATTTGGTTACAGTGTATAACAAATAGCCAACTTTGCGTCACAAGCATTACGTTTTTCTGTACTCAGCTACTCGCATTCACGTATGGACTAATGAAAGCTCTAAGGAAATTGGCATAATCTCCTAAACGAACGTAGATATGAATATATCGTAGATAAAACTTTTGTAGCTTATTTATCAAATTATAAAACTTCCTTAACTTTTCTCTGTCATATTTTCAGGACCGTAACAAAAAAAACAAAAAGTTTTACAAAAATATATCAGTTCCTGTCTACGATAGGATCCGGCAGGGTTACGACGTAAAAAACGATATGTTAAAAAGAAGCCGACAAAATGTCAACTTGCTGACTAGATAGCTGTGCATATAATTAATTCCGCTCTCTCTCGCTGTGAGCGTCACCTATGGACTTAACGACCAAGTCAGTTCGCCAGCATACTTTGTCGGTTGCAGAATGCCATCATAGTCTGTAGAGTATATCTCTGAGATGATGTGACAGAACGAAAATTGACTGATTAGCAAAGTAGCAAGGTATCGCCTGGATGCTTGTGTATTTTTTTTCTGCATCTGTATAAAATCAGTGATATTTGCTATGTGAGAAAATTATTACTGAATCTGCTGCCCATGAAGTATATCTGTTAGCTGTACCAGACGGGTTATTTGTGTTGTCGTTTCTGAATAGAGGTTATGTTCAAAATTACGATTTTCCCCAGCTTTTGCGTTTTCAAAAACTTTGAAAAGCATTACGGGATATCACCACCGTGCTCACGTTGTATGTAATTAAGCCACATCATATAAAAATTAGGAATGACTCATCACACACAAAACATTTTCGCAGCGCCTCACATCTAGGCGCTGTTTTGTATTTTCTATTAGTAGAAATCGCAAAATAAATTTCTATAAAATTTAAATGACAGGAAATAAAACATAATATAAATGTAATAACCTATCCACGTTTCATAAATATTCCTGTCTGTAGCCCATTTTCTCACATGTTAGTTGTAATATACTTTACCAACCAGGGACTTTCTTTTCTTATCTCTCTCATTTTTTGCATATGTAATTTCGAGGACGAATAAAAAAAATATCTTAGTATAACTACTCTTGTCTATACTATAACTTTCTAAAACTGTAATGACTCATCGATGTTCACGTGAACATCACTTAACTACCAGTAGTCGGCTGTTCATAGGCGGGGTATGAATGTTTAACATGGGTGAACTAGATTTGTCACATGCTTAATAAAGAGTGGTTTGAAACATATTGTAAGTCAAAATTTTGGGAATTACCTTTATTCATCGTCGCTTCCACTTACATCTGACAGTAATAAACTGTCGCTATCGCTTTCCTCGTTGAAATTGACTATAACTGGCTCTATGATGGTGTCGATGTGGTGGTCAAGCTGCCACATTTTTGTTTCTTCCTTCACAACATGACGGATAGCATTCTGCCAAGCTTCGGGCGTTACTAGCTGTATGGAAGTCTCAAGTAAAACCTTAACGTCTGGTAATTTGAAGGTTGTGTTATGGCGCGCAATATAACCCTTCACTTGAGCCCAGATTGGGTTCAGTTCACAATGGTAGGGCGGTAACCGCAGCACAGTGACACCACATTGACGGGCCATCTCATCAGTCACGTAACTAATGTTCGCAGGTTTGTGCTGTTTAATTTTTTCATACAATTCCGCGTTCACACATGAATCGTCAAACGGGATTCCTTTTTCGCGCAACCATTGCTGCATGTCACTTTTTCGAGATCCCATAGTCGGTACACGTTCGGCTCGACGACTGTGGTAGGAAGCATTATCCATGACGATCACACGAGTTGGGCTCAACTCGCTGAAGCACCCCTTGAAACCAGCTCTCGAAGCAGCTGGCATTCATTTCGTCATGGTAATCACCTCCTTTCTTAGAGACGAAAATCAAGCCACACTCTTCTAAAAAGCCACTAACGCTACCAATATGAGTTACGATCGATCTTTGACCTTTCCCTGACGGTCCACGAAGACCTGTTGACAAACCTTCAATGCTTGCTTGTCGGTTACTCACTACGTTTTTGTCTATCCAGGTTTTTTTAACTGTGTGACCTGCATTTACCCATGTCTCGCCCAAATAATAGATTTTTCTGCTTTGTCGCCTATATTCAATCATTTCGCGTAGGTATTTTCGACGCCAGGCGACTATTTCAGGTCTCTCTATCAATACTGACTTCCGATTACGCGTTTCGTAACGAAAATTAATTTCGTGCAGGGATTTCCTCATTACCTCGACGCTCATTTGGGATATAATTTCATTTTCCTTGATCGCTGCATGTACAGCCTTGAGGGTTGGTATCTCATTCCTAAAGAAGAATGAATGTACGGTTCGCCTTAACGCCATTTTGCTATCGTCATCCAATTTAACGGCCTTTCGTCCCTTCAAATTAAACTTTGGATCAGTAGTAGCTCCAGTTTTCTTCTTTTCATGCACCACCCTGCGAATGGTCCACTCTGGAACGCCTGTCATACTTTCACAACGCGCGAGTGCATCTCCCTGCGACATAGTTCTGTTCAGATAATTGAACACGTTGAGCACGATTTCTTTCGCGTCCCTCTTCAGTGTTTTACGAAGCCGTCTACTTGTTCCCTGGCTTTCAGTACTTCCACTCGTGCTATTTGTACTCTCCATGGTTAAGTATAACCAAAACAGTAACCACAGAAACCACAAAAATAACAATCACACAACAATTCTTATAAAAACACACAATATGCGACCGCTCAACGAAACACGTTCCAATGCGTTGCCGACGCCTATGAGTCTGCCGGTCGAGGCGCGTCTTTGATTTCATTGGTTCTACCGGCGGAGAACAATCAGCCATTATTTCCATCTCTGTCTGTGCTGTTGACCACCGCAAAGCCACAGAAACGACATATGTCGTACGCTATACGGCTGTACTGGAAGGAAGCCGGGATCGAGCTCTGATCACGTGTTGATCACGCGTATGAGTCATTATAGTTTTAAATAGTTGTAGTATAGACGTTTTTCAACAGTTATTGCTACAAAAAATAAACTGAGCATACCTCGACATTTTACTATACTTGTGTAATGAAAATGAAAGGTAAATGGGTTCGTTGGATCATAAAATTGTTCCATCAAATTCCTGGGATATAAATGGGAAATTTTATCACAGAACTACAAATGCATACCTGCAGCAATGCTGAGTAGGAAATCGGTTCTACTACTAACACGTTCTGGTGGTATTAAACCTTTAATACCATGGAATGTATAAAAATATACAAAGTTCGATACTCCCATTGTAGTAACTGTTACCCGCAGTCCCCGATACAATGCTGTACTGCAAATAAAAAATATATGATTCATTATACTATGTTTGCACTCAATCACAATAATACTCACATTCCTTCATTTTTCAAAATGAAAAGGATTGCCTGCAATGTTGATTTGTCTATGAGATCTTTATCTTGCACTAAAATACATAAATATGTTAGAATGGTATTTTATAAAAATCCTACCAACAAACTTACGCTGTATTCTGAATTTGATTAGATCCAATGGGTAAAAGGTGGATAGAGCAAATGTGCTACCCTGAAAACATTTTAAAATTAATATCTTCCAATTATACAATTTCACATATCACAAAACTCCATAACTATTTGTAAATGTCTATCAGAGTGATCCATTGGACCTATGCTCTTAGTTAACAGTATTGTCAGTTTATGAAGCTATTAAGCTGTATATAGATATAGTCAACGCCAAACAAAGTGGCGTGCACGTCATCACGATAAAAATTCCCCGACCTAATGCCTAGGTTTCTATCACAAACAATTGCTCTATTGCAGTTTCATATTAATGTGATATATAAATTGTAAAATGGTCATTACTCTCTTATTATGGTTAATAGTCATATAAACATTGTTATTAAAATATCACATAAGTTGCTTTCTGATAAATTTAGACGCATTATGCGAAATAAAATGTTTTGCAAACGCTCCAATCACTTATCGACATGTAAACGCACTAAACCGATTTCGCAGCGTTGACACATTGTCACCTTGAAACTTATTTAAACTGGGAACTGACATTTGTATTAATTTTGACACTGAATCAATTTGTGGCATTTCAAATCTTTATAAATCCTTTGGCCCCGCATACTGTAAATCAACAACTGTTTGTTTCAAAACAAAATTATTCATTTTACGAGTAGATAAAGGCAATTTTGGTATATAAAGATGCCCAAACAGTTAAATAGTCGGTGTAAGGAACTCGTGGCCTCGTTAATGCACTACTTTGAGCAAGAAAGGGACAACAACGGGCCTTTGTTGCCTTTAAATGCTGTTCAAGAGGTAGGTTACTAATAATTATATGTAATGTATATTAATAATAGTGAAATTTTATTTCATTTTTTGTAGCGTGTTGCTGCTGCTTTAAAAATTAGTTTAAGGACAGTTAGTCGTATTTCCGAGGGTGTGAAAAGTGATGCAAATTTAGAATCGCCCAAGAAAAAGCGGAGTTATATTAAACGTGTAACCAACACAGCGACGTTGGATACAAGTGCCATTCGAGAAGTGATCTATAATATGTATCACAAAAGTAAGATCTTATTATAATAACTTATCAGAAATTTGCATTAATTTGTTAACTAAATTATAATGTCATATTACACATGGTTTCAGAAGAACAAGTTACGATACAAACTTTATGGTCTCGATTAAGAGATAGGGCATTATTTGATGGTAGTGCCACGTCTTTAAGGCGGTTGCTTAGAGATCTTGGATTTAAGTGGCTTAAGGACAATCCGCGACGAAGGCTCATGGAACTACCAAGTATAGCTTTGAAAAGGGTGGAATTTCTAAGGCAATACAATCAAGCCAAGGTTGAGGCCTTATGCCAGTTTGTCTTCCTCGATGAAACTTGGATATTTCAAAATGGGACCATAGGTCGCTCTTGGCAAAATGGAAACCAAAAAAGCGTGAAAGCTATTAAAACAGATGGTAAAAGGTATGTACTTTTACACAATTTGCACTATAAAATTTAAAACTAATATATTTTAGATACATTATATTACATGCTGGAAATGAAAATGGGTTTATTGAGGGTAGTGAAGCGATATTTTCTTCGAAAACAAAATTGAGCGATTACCATGGAGAGATGAACCAGGACAATTTTTTGAAATGGTTTCAACATCAGTTATTAGAAAAATTGGAGAGTCCATCTATGATTATACTGGATAACGCCCCTTATCACAGCATGATATTGAACAAAGTGCCCAACAATGCATGGACAAAAAAAATATCCAAGACTGGTTGACAAATCAAAACATACCATTTTTAAACACAATGTTTAAAACAGAGCTATTGAGTATTGTTGCTCGGTACATAATGCTTCTTAATTATATATATTTTGGTCGACAGTTTATATTTCTTTTGTTTATTCCTATTCTTAAAATAACTGCTTTTTTAGAAACAAACCACCTAAAATATACGTGATTGATGAATTGGCGGAACAACATGGGCACAAAGTTCTTCGTCTGCCTCCTTACCATTGTATATTTAACCCTATTGAGTTAATTTGGGGCATAGCAAAAGGTTACTATAACAGACATATTGGTAGAGATGGTAACAGTGAAAAAGACTGTTTGGATATGTGGAACGAGGCTCTACAAACGGTTACCCCAGACATGTGGAAAAATAGTGTTCGATATACTGAGCAAGAAATTTTTAAATGGTATGAAAGAGAACGAATTTTTGATCGACCAGACATCGAACCTTTAATAATCAACTTTGAGAGTGATGAAGATTCAGATTCAGACAGCGCTGAAGAAAGAAACTCCGACTAACTTTATTGTACAGAAAAAGCTTACACCAGTAGCTTACCTAATTTTAGAATGCATTTTTCTGTATGAATTCTGTAAAATAAATACCATGCATAAAATTTGGAGGACCCCATTTGGATTTTTATTCAGTACCTTTAAGCTATCAATTAAATATGGTAGTTTCATAGTGTCATCTGATCAATAATTGTCATACTTAATGATTATGCAAGTACAGATCTATAATTTTATTATACTATTATTTTTGTTCTCATTTGAGGTTAATATTGCTTATAAACCTAGATATGTAAATAATAAATTTTATTATTTTACAAAAAGTTTGGAACAGTGTAAATTTTTCAACACACCCACCTTGATGACGTGCACGCCACTTTGTTTGGCGTTGACTATAGTATCCCTTTATATATCTCCATCTCCCTCATACAAACACATGCAACCTACGTTTTTCAGTTGTGTGTCTCCGTCTCGAAAACTTTGTCGTTACGTATGAGTGCCCTTCAATCATATTTGTCAGAATGACAACTTACTTGACATCGGCGTGCAATTTGACGTGTCCTGTTATCAATCTTCAATATAAAATTGTACAATACCCGGAAGTTCGATCAATAGAGAAGGCCGAGAGCTCATGCTAAATTTATTAGACATTGGAGTGTTTCCAGGAAGAGAATGAAAACAGCGATCCCCTGTTACCTACTTCATGTGTACTGGAGAGAGTAGCAGGTGTTCAGCGAATAAAATCGGAAAATAAGAAAGCTTTGTCCATAGTAACACCTGGGGAAACTCACAAAATCAAAAAATTCAAGACCGATGATGTAAGTGATGCCGTCAAAACAGAAATTAGGAATACCTTCTACCATATGAGAAGTAAAGGACAACATATCACGACCTCTGCGCTCAATCAGGAGCTTAAAAAAGGTACATATACACCGTTTCGGAATCAAGTTTAAGGCGGCTATTGAAAGCTTGTGGTTTTTCGTACAAGACAGAAGATAACCGCCGACTCGCGTGTGAAAAATCAGTACTGTTTCCAAACGTATCTATTTTATGAGACATTATACAGGTTGTCCCAGAAGTCGACGTCAAGCCGAAACCGGGTGATAGGCAAAGTCATAAAAGCTATCAGAATAATATTTAAAAAGATTTTATGTATGCGTTTTGAAAATTATAGGTCTTTGAAAAAGATATAGAAATTTCACACCCTACGGCAGTCTGTCAACTCCTGTTACTACAAATATTTACTTTTTTTGGATTTTATTTTTACAATGTAATGATGAATAATGCATCTTCAAACTGGTGTCTCAACCTTACTGCCAACTTTTCTCGTTCAGGAAAAATTGCCACTTATTTCCCAACCAAGTATTCCAAAGTAAAACTTTGCTCAACTTTAACTGGCTGTACTGGAAAAAAATGTACTACGAGAGTTTGGCAAGTAACCTTAAAAGTTGGCGCATTTAATAACGATTCCAAAATGGTATAACACTTAGAAGATTACTCGTTAACTTATGCACAATTTTTATTTGAAAAAAAACTGATGAAAATTTTTCAAAATTTCCTAATTAAACAGCGATTATGAAAACGCACAAGGACCCTTAAGGATAACTGTTTGCACAACAGTGGGCGTCAAAATGCTGCTGATGATGATTTACTTTTACAGCAAATACTCAAACTGTTTTCCTTCAGCCGCAATACACGCTCGACATCGTCTTAAAAGAGATCGGGTTATTAAACGAGCGAATCCACGGTTATTAACAAACTCAGCTGCTTCCAATAGTCTTTGCCGTAGCTCAGCTACATTTTAAATCGGCTTGAAATACACTTTTTCTTTTACAGTTCCCCAGTAAAAAAATCTAAAAGATTCAAATCAGGTGATCGGGCTGGCCACGGTATTGTACCAGACCGCCTTATCCATCTACCTGGAAAGTTTTGATCGAGATACTCTCTTACTGAGAGTGCATAGTGCGCTGGGCAGCCATCATGCTGAAACCACATGTCCCTGTAAATACTCAGTGGCGCGTCCACCAATAAATTTTGTACATGATTTTTATGATTATTAGCTCCGAGTTGCTTTTTGTCGCACAATGTTAGAAAGACACAGGGAAGATCCACGGTTCTTTGAAAAAAATGTATGGTCAGATGATACCACATTTAAGAAAGATGGGTACATGAACCTGCATAACTTACACGAGTGGCACGTAGCAAACCCACATTTGATGAGAGAAGATAAATCTCAATATCGCTTCAAGATAAACCATTGGACAGGAATTTTAAATGGTAAAATAATTGGTCCGTTTGAGTTCCCAGAGACTTTGACTGCTGAGGTTTATTTAGATTTTTTGCAAAATCATTTAGAAAATTTATTGGAGGACGTGCCACTGAGTATTTACAGGGACATGTGGTTTCAGCATGATGGCTGTCCAGCGCACTATGCACTCTCAGTGAGAGAGTATCTCGATCAAAACTTTCCAGGCAGATGGATAGGGCGGTCTGGTACAATACCGTGGCCAGCCCGGTCACCAGATTTGAATCCGTTAGATTTTTTTACTGGGGAACTGTAAAAGAAAAAGTGTATTTCAAGCCGATTCAAAATGTAGCTGAGCTACGGCAAAGACTATTGGAAGCAGCTGAGTTTGTTAATAACCGTGGATTCGCTCGTTTAATAACCCGATCTTTTTTAAGAAGATGTCGAGCGTGTATTGCGGCTGAAGGAAAACAGTTTGAGCATTTGCTGTAAAGGTAAATCATCATCAGCAGCATT